GCAACGAGAAGGCTACAATTCACGCCTTCCTCCCAGGGCCTCTCGCTATAGCAAGAACACCCTACATCAGACACTTAGCCAAATTTCAGTCTAGTTCCAAACATACACATATATTCTCATCACCATATATATATATATATATATATATATATTCTTATAATCGCGTATTTATCCATACACATTCCTACACATTATCATTTAATATTCATCACGCACTCAAGTATACATTACAATATTTATTTATATATAATAATAATAATAATACTAATAATCAATATTACAAAAAGTCAAAGCGTTACAACACACACACATCCACATCACCATCACAAATCAAGATGCACATCCAAATAATAATACACATACTTATATTAACAATCAAAATATTATTACAAAATTCAGGGTTTTACACATGAGTTGGGGTATTTAAGGAGATTTTGAGTTGAAAACTTCTATTTCTCACCAAACCACCATTCTCTCTCACCTTTTTCCCCAGAGAAAACCTTCCCAAAGTCGGACTTCTTCCCAATTCAAGTGAGAACCTCTACTTAGTGCGAATTTAGGTGAGTTCTTAGGACTTGGTTCCCTTATTCTATCCTTTTTTTCTTAATTTCTTTTCTCAAGAGTCTCTATTTCGTGATAATAGGAAGATTTGAGAACCTTGAACTTTTTTCTCTCTTTGGAGCTCACGAAGCTTTCAATATAAGAAAATCATTCCAGGTAAAGGGAGCTTACCCTAGAAGGCCTTTATTACTCACTTGGTTGTTGTGATATTGTATATAATCTCGCTTTAGCTGAAAATGAGTTGACGTATGAACAAACCTTAGGGTATAACTCATATTAGGCATGGCTGAGGAGATTCTCTATTGTTTGATTGTTGTATAAAGCTGATTATACATGGAAAAATGTTTAAAATGCTATAACACGATATGCTAAAAATGTTTGGTATATGTATATGTTGCAAAATCTATTATGCTAAGGCTGATTGATAAATGATGTAATTCTACACAAGTTGTAGAGAATGAGAAAATGTTGTGAGTTGTTTGGTTTTGCTAAGAATATATATATGTATATATGTATATATATACATATATATGTATATATATACATATATATGTATATATATACATATATATGTATATATATATCTATATATTGTACTATATCATGCCAATTTCATCATTTTAGAGCCGAGTTACAAATTTAGGTTGTTAGACATGTAATGATAGAAATGCTGAGCTGTGTTATGTCTGGATCCAGATACTGGGATGGGTCACTCTCAAACCGAAAATAGTTCCTCTTGAATACTTGAGTTGTGAAACCAGTGAAACTGAATTGCTGCATTTATATTAGATGAGCTGAACATGCTGTATCAATTGGTTGAGATTGTTATGTTGCTTGCTGAAAATTATAAAAGTTGTATAGATATTTATGATATTTTCATACTCTATAGTTATGACTATTGTTTATATAAGCTCACTCTTATATTTTGTTGTGCTACTGTATGCTATGATGACCGTACGATAATATGTGAGCAGATGTGACAAGTGATGTATCTACTCCCCATGCCAAAAAGTCTAACTGAGGGATATTTGGAGTTTAGCATAAGTTTTGGAAGAATTGTAATTTTATGTAGTAATAGGTCTAGACTATTTAGCTATAGTATTCATAAATGTAACTGTTGATTCATAAATTTATATTTTGAGCTCAATGTAGAGTAACTGTTATAAATACATGTATTTATATAAATTTTTGGGTGTATGAAAATGCCCTTAGGGCTTTGTTATTCTGTTAAATGTTGAAATTTAACTTTTGTAAACTATATCTTTTGTACTCTAAATATATTTTTTTATCTCATGAATAAATCTATAGAGCAATAATGTACAATGTTATTGATCAATTATAAAAAAAGGGGTCGTGACATATGACCAATAAAAAAATGATACTTAATAGTATCTCATTAAATAATGTCGACTAAAAAGAATTATAATCATAGATTTTGAAAAAGTAGAGATTATATTGTAAAAAAATATTTCATAGGGATTAAATTCAAATTTTATAACTTACCAAACACTTAATTAAATATGATTTAACTAGTTAATAGCTTGCACAATGCACATATTAAAAACCATAAATTTAAGAGATAAGATTGTCATAGGTAAAATCTAAAATAAAAAGTAGAAAAAATAACATATACTTTAAGTACAATAAAAACAAATGTGTGAGCATGTTTCAAAAAAGACTATGAGACAAAATATTTGTGAATAACGTAAATTTTAAAGAAAAAAAATGGATGGAAGTGATAGCCTGAGCAATTTCTAGGAGAGAAAATATGTTTTCCATGCAAAACTAAAGATAAGTTATTTTTAAGAAGTTTAACTAGAGTATTGTTAATAATAAATTAAGTATTATAAATGTAAACATAAATTTTCATAAGAAATTTGATAATTTACATAAAGTAATAGAAATTTTTATAAATTTAAACATATGTATTCACGGAAAATTTTAAAGTTTATATAAAGTAATGGTTCAATTTTCATGTCAAGTGTATGCTTAATTTACAAGATTTTTGTAAATTTTTCTTAGACTTTTAGGGCTCCTTTCATGTCCAACATGCAATAACACTAGGCTAAGTATGGTAAAAATTATAGGTTTTCATTATTTATACACTTGTATAAAAATGGTCATTCTAAGACTTATTTTGGGATTTTTTTGTTAGTTTTTGTAACTTGCGTGTTAATTCTTATTTTTATCTTCTCACAATTATATATAATCTTTGTATATATTGTCTTGGATAACTAAGAATGAACTAGTTTAATTTAGAAAAATAATTCTCAATTCTAATTAGCTCTTGTCACTTCTAATTAGATCACACTATACTTGTACTTCATTATTCTTCTTTATTTGAACTTAGTTTTGGGTCAATTTTCCTATTTGTATTCTAATTTTTAATTTCTTATCTATATTCTATTTTCTAATTCAGTTAGGACAGTAAAATTATCAATTGAACAACAGTGATGAAATTTTGGATGTCACCGTTTTTAATTAAATTTGAATTTGTTTTATATTTCTCAATTTTATTCTAAATTTTTGTATGATTTTTAAATGTACCTGCTTTATGATATTCAAATTTTATTAATACTCTTAATACATAATTAATAATAAATTTTAATAACAATAATGCTTAATTCTGCAAATTAAATTTAAAATTAAGAATCATATTGTGTGAGTTTGAATAAAATGCAATTATTGATAATTGAATTAAGATTAGAAAATACTTGAGTGACTAACTTGAATTGAATCAATACTTTATGTGCTATTCATATTAGGAATTTCTTTTAATCTAATTAGTACTTAATTAATCACTTTGAGTTAAAATATAATTCAAATTTAATAATTATATCATATGATAATTTTGTTACTGAATTGAATGGAGAATCGGTTTATTATTCATCACTACTAATACATTTATTTTACTCTGCATTTTTAATTTATAATAATAAATCAATCTGCATACTTACCTTGTTTCGATCAACTATATACACTGCTATCAACAATATTCATACACTAAAAAGCAAAAATAATAATATATACACTAAAATGTTTTCATTCACTTTCCTACACTCAAGCTTTCCAATTATTCTCTGCTCATAGCTAACTAGGCACCTACATCATATCTAAATATTCTTTGCCCTTAACTAACTTTTTATCATACTTTTTTTCTTTCCTTTCCTTTCTTCTTAACTAAACACAAACATGATTTCAAATTTCTTTTCATTTGATTGATGATTGTTTGGAATGTTTAGCTCCTAGGCTAGTATAGAAAGATATGCAGAGAAAGGCAACACAACAACCTCAATAAGATCAAAGCACACACCTTCAACTCCAAAGTCACTTTAGAGAAGTTAGCTATTGATGTGCAGAAGCTATAGAAGAGCAACACAATTTTGGCACGAAGCATAGCTAACATAGATACCATTTTGAGAATGATGGCTGAACGTCAGGGGATTGATACCTTAATTGTTGGAGGAGCACCCTTGACTAATGAAGAATTAATGGATCTTATAACTTCAATCAAGGTGATGAAGATTTGCCAGAGGAAGCTCATAGAAAAGAAGAGAAATAGGCAAGAGAAGCAGAAGAAGCTGTTGAAGAAGAAGAAAATTCATACATTTTGAACACAGGATTTTTTGAAATTTGAACTTATTTTCATAAAATAAAAACTTTTAGAAGCAGATTTAATTTGAAAGTAAATCATAAAAGAAGCAGTTCCACTTATCTCTTCAAAAAAATTTGATAAGTAATGAAAGAAAGTTACATAAATTGTTTAGGAATTAAAGAAAAGTAAAAAACAAATGTTAAATTAAAACATAAAGAAAACAACAAAGTGTCCAAACTGTTTAAAAGGAAGAAAACATTTATCACCCAGCCCTATGGAGGTGTTAACTCCTCGCCTTCGGCTTTCTATTGAATGATCCATGGAGGTGCTATTTATACTCTGTTAATGACGCACATAGCAATATCAGAATAGAATTAAGTGGCAATCTCACTTCACGATTCACGAAGCGACACCAATTTATCTTCCCTGGTACTTTAATAATTTTATCTTTTATACTTTTTTGTCACTAATTTTTTTAACTTAATTTTTCTGTAATATTATTATTTTTATATTTTTTGGTATAACTTAATCTTTTGAACAATCTCTTTAACTTGTATTAAAGAGTTTAACTCTCATTATAAAATATAATAGTAAATTTAAAAATAAAATTATAAGAAAATAATATATATATATATAATCTCCTGATATTTGATATTTACATTTATTTAATACTTTTTGTCTGAGTTTAAAGATATATTAATTTTATAAAATTTTATAATAAAATAAAATAATTAAATACATGATAACGGTATTTTATTTCAAATGAATAATATATTTTAAAATATAATACGTACATTATTTTATTTTGCTTTATTTTTTTTGTCTTCCCTCCCCGCTATTTAAATCCAAAACTACTTCGGTGCGCGGAGCTGCCTTGGTTTTTAAAACCAAATTTATTTATCTAATTTGTAAAGGGGAAGAACCGGAGGCATTTATTGGCGCCAAATGTTATTGACAGTATCTCTCAAATGTTCTGTTTGATCTCTAACCCTAATCAATAATCCCAATGCCCAACTCTGTGTGATTACGGAGACCTTCACTTCCGCAGAGTACAACCAATGGCGGAGTCTCGGCCCCCTAAGCGCCCCAAAATAACTAGGTTAGTAAATGTTCTGCTTCATCCTTTGTTCATTATCTCTATGCATTTTTCCTCGCAATTTCAGTGTTAGGGTTAAGCCATTTGTATGTCTAGTAAAGGAGATGAAATGATTGAAGTAGTAAACTTGATCTTGATTTTTTTTTTCCCGTTGGAACTGAATGACGGACGACTTAGGGTGGAGGCATTTGGAGGAGTGTTTTTTTTTTCCTTTTTAAATAACTATTGTTTTACTTTCCTGAAGTCGAGGAAATTAAGATGAATTTTTCAATCTTAACTTGTGAAAATGATGAGAGGGTTGCGATTGTGGAGTTGATGCTTTGAACTTTGTTTCAGGGGGGACGATGATTATGTGCCTGGAAATATTCTTGAGATCGAGCTTTGTAATTTCATGACATTTGATTACTTAAAATGCAAACCTGGCCCTCGATTGAATCTTGTAATTGGTCCCAATGGTTCTGGCAAGAGTTCGCTTGTATGTGCTATTGCTCTTGGCCTCTGTGGAGAGCCCCAGGTTGGTTTGATATTTTCTGCACTTGAGCAAACTTCTTACGATTGCTGTTTTTGAACTGCATTATACGACTTTTTTCTCGCAGTTGCTTGGGCGTGCTACAAGTATTGAGGCATATGTCAAGCGGGGAGAAGAATCTGGCTACATTAAGATTACCTTGAGAGGGGACCGTAAAGAGGAACAAATTACCATTATGCGTAAAATTAATACTAACAACAAGTCTGAATGGTTGATCAATGGTGGGGTTTTAAAACTTTGTCTAATTTTATGGAAAGCTACTGTTGTTTTGACAGTAATTGTTAAGTCTGTTCATTGATATTAACTGGCTGGTTATGGAATCTTACAACAAAATATGGCTTCTGATTTTGACATTAAAAGCTATGCAGTACTTCTGCTTAGTATTGTGTTCATTATTTTTATTCAGAGTTTTACCTTAAGTTACATAGCTACCTTTTAAAACCATCTTTTGAATAAGTACTACTTACTTTTTTGTGTATGAATGGTTATGAACATAGCATGCCACCTTGGTGGGTTTATATTACACGATATTGGGTTGGTTTTTTTTATTTTTTTTTATTTTTGTGGAAGTGTATAGTTCTAAATCAGGATGAAATTTATCTCTGCTCTTCAAGGCGATACCTTTCTTTGGAAACATATCTTTAGGGGTTGTTTCAGAAGGGGGGTTTTGGAGGGGAGGGGAGGACAAATATTTTATTTTAACTAAATATATTTAAAATTAATATTTTTTCAAAATAAAGACATAAATTGATATATTAACATAAACTTATTGTATTAATCATGCATTTAACATCATAAATGATATATAATTCTCTCAATTTAACATTAAAACACATGCCCTCCCCTCCCCTCTCCTTCAAAAACCCTCTCCCAAACATACCCTTAGGGTTTTTGATGAGCGGTCTTGGCTGTGTCCTTCTATCCTACAGTAGCTTTTGTTTGTTTGTTATGATTTATGAAGGTTTTTGGAATTAACAGGAAGGATATCAAATTTCTGGGGCCAAAAGCAATTTTTTCTATTATTTAGTGAATATGGCCATAGGCGAACACATACATCTTTATGTTTGTCTTCATGTTCTTAAACTTTATATATATATATATATATATATGCGTTACAAGAACTTGGATGTTGAAGTTTTTCCCTTCATCTCAATTTTATGTGCTGAGAATTTCTATTCATGAGAGAAAAAAGTTGCTTGAGTGAACCACAAATATAGCTTTGTAATTTTAAATCTTCATGAGAAATTTCAAAGTTTGATCAAATAAATATGTGAGATTTGTCAATGTGTTCACTTCAGGAAATGTAGTTCCCAGAAAGGATGTGGCTGAAACCCTTCAAAGGTTTAACATCCAAGTCAATAATTTGACTCAAGTAAGTGTATGACCTGCAATCAGGACATTTCATTGCATACTTTTTTTGAATTCTAGAAAGCCACCTTGTTATATGACTTTTTTGTCTTATTGTATTACCTCAAAATTAACAATTTTGGAGGATGGGACTATTGTTCAAATTAATGTCAATTTATAGACTTGCAAGATTTAGTGTTTTAGTTTTCTCTTAAACTTATGTGTTGGAGCATAAGTATTGTAGAAGATCTTCAACTCTGTTTTAATCACAGCTTTGTTCTTTCACTGGGATGAGTTTAAGATAAGTTTTTCATGAATAGAATTGAGTCTTCAAGATATGATTTCTTTGGACTTAGTGCAAATATAGAGTGTGCATGGACAATCGTAAAAAAAGCATTTTGTCTGATATAGCATTTCTTTTCCAGATATGCCAATCTTTCTAACTTATTTTTTTCTTTCTTCTAGGCTTTTATTTCTTTTTCCAAATAATTAATTTAATATTTAATTATGATATAATTGTTAAGGCATGCTGTTCAATTTAGAAAGTGATAGCAAACCATTAATAAAGCACTTGTTCGATTAAAAGAATTAGGAGAGGGGTAGGGGATCAGAACCCAACTTACTGAATTAGTTGGAGGTGGTTAGTGAGAAATTGTATTTAAAAGGGAATATGATAGGAAAGAGGGCAGAAAAGGAACATGATTTTTGTAGGGTTGGGTAGAGTCCAGGGTCTGTCGAATACCCTGTGAACCTTGTAGCATTTTTCTGTCTCTTGGTCACCTTGATCAGGGGGCATTATTGTGAATAATACGATCAGTTTGTTTTTGATTTCCTTCTATATTGATCCAGTTCTATCAACTGGTATCAAAGTTCTACTTTCCTGGGCATGGTTCATGATGGGGACAAGAATGGAGGGTCAAGTAGAAGCATTGGAGAGGAGTTTATCAAATTTACGGCAACAAGGAGAAGAGGAAAGCAAGCGTTGTTCATTATTGGAAGTGCGTATTCGCTATACCGAAAACAATGTACAAGAAATCTTGGGGGCTAACATGTTTTCCAATTGCTGCAGATTCACCATTTGGTGGATAACAAAATAAAATTGTAGTTTTGGGGTATGACAGGTGGTGTACTTTGGCCATGTTATTTCAGCTGATGGAGTGGCTGCTGATCCAAAGAAAAATTGAAGCGATGGTGCTGGACTGGCCTAGTCCCAAGGACGTAAAGGGATTAAGAGGTTTTTTGGGACTCACAGGGTATTATAGAAGGTTTGTCTAGAATTATGGAAAGGTAGCCAAACCACTAGCAGAATTGCTGCAGAAAGGTAACTTCCACTAGTCACTAGAAGCACAACAGGCTTTTGAGGCATTACGATCAGCCATGACATCTTTACCTGTCCGGGCCATTCCAGACTTTACCAAACCATTTATGGTGGAGACTGATGCATCCGGGAAAGGGATAGGTGCTGTTTTGTTGAAAGAGGGGTACCCTATAGCTTTTCTCAGTCATTCCTTGTCAAAAAGAGCTCAACAGAAATCGGTCTATGAGAGGGAACATATGGCCATTGTCTCTGCAGTTAAAAAGTGGAGACACTATTAAATGGGCAGACACTTTGTAATTCAAACTGATGAAAGAAGTCTCAAGTTTCTGACTGAAAAATGTTTAATGGGTGAAGACCAATATAAATGGACAACTAGATTAGTGGGTTTTGATTTTGAAATTCAGTACAAACCAGGAAGTGGTAACAAGGTGGCAGATGCTTTATCCAGAAAAATGATATATTCAACCATCTCCACTTTTAGCTTTGATGAATGGGACAAATTGGAGGGTGAACATGAGAGGATAAAAAACAGATTAAATATAGGAGCAAAGGGGAGAAGAGAGAATGGTCTTCTATTTTTTAGCACTATTCCAGTTCTAGCTTGGGCAAAGGTTTTTCTCTGTGAAGTCTATGCTCTGTGTAGTGAATTGGTCATTTTGTTGGAATTCTGCTATGGTTTTGCATTTTAGATTGATCAACACTATAGTATCTGGGTTTCCATTAGTGTCAAGTATGAAGTTTCCATGTACGTCTAGAGTAAGAGAGTATGGGGGAATAGCTAGGGAAATATATGGCGTGCTGTTTTGTTTGTGTTTTACTTTTGAACTATCATTGGTATAGGGTTGAAAAGCAATCTTATAGTGCTAGGGCTTAAGAGTCCTTTCATGCATGTTTTACAGCTTATTGGATTGTGCCCAACATCTGTGATCAAGATGGGGAGTTCCTACTAGCTTTCAAAACCTTGAATTTCATTTGGTTGTTTTTCATAGTTTTCTTTCTTTCTTTTTCTTTTTTACTTGTTTAGGGATTGGGAGGATCTTTTGAGTTGATGTACCCTTTTTCATGTGTGTATTTTCTGTTTCCCTGAGGATATGCTTGGGAGTTGGGTTTCAAAAGGATTGGATTGGGAGGGCAATTTATGAATTTTTAAATTAAGAAAGTTACATGATGTTTATAAGAATAACTAAAAGATTAGGAGATTAGGTATAGGTTTATGTTAATCTATTGTTTTATTTTAGAAATTATCAAATTAGAGAATATTTATTGGAGATAAAGGTAAAACTTATACCCTTTCTTCCATTTCCTTAAGAGGAAAAGTTCTGCTTTGTGTCTTATATCTCTTTTACTAATTAAAAATAAAATTTGTCTTCCCTTTTATCTCAGTTTATGATGTATTTATCTGCATTTTTTCTCACCATCTCCTCTTATTAGTGTCCTTTAATTGTTTTATTTATTGTCACATTCATATTTAGGTTCTTGTGTTGGGCTAATACTTTGTTTTTCTTTTTCTCCCACACAACTACTTGTTTGGAATCCTTGGCTTTTGAAGTTTTTACCGCAAGACAGGGTCTGTGAGTTTGCAAAATTAACTCCTGTGCAACTTCTGGAAGAGACTGAAAAGGCTGTTGGTGATCCACAGCTTCCAGCACAACATCGTGCACTAGTTGATAAAAGTCGTTCATTGAAGCATATTGCGTTGGTAAGTTCACCTTTCCCTAAGAAATGGGATTAATTATCTCATAGGACTTCATTGCAAGTAAACTTGAGAATCACATCACTAATACTGTTTCAGTCTCTAGAGAAAAATGAAGGAACTTTAAAACAGTTGAAGGAACAAAATGCTGAATTAGAGAAGGATGTTGAACGTGTTCGACAAAGAGATGAACTTCTTGCCAAGGTTTATATTGATTTTTGTTGATTACATTCCGTCAGAATGTCTTATATAAGCAAAGCATCGAGCACTTTGTGTCGGTGGTTTTTCCTTTTCTGATATTCTAAGCCCATTCTTTTATTCATGTATGTGGTTTTAACTTTTATGACCCTCATGCCTTGAAACTTTTCCCTCTCTTGATGATTTTCTTAATAAGAAATTCATGCCTATATCTTTTTATGTAGGCTGAATCAATGAGAAAGAAATTGCCATGGCTGAAGTATGATATGAAGCAGGCAGAATATCGGGAAGCTAAGGAGCGTGAGAATGATGCAGCAAAGGCATTGGAGGAAGCTGCACAGTTATTAAATGATCTTAAAGAACCCATTCAGTATGGTGGCCTTTGTTTCTTCTATATTTAACTGTTTAAATTTCTTATCCTCTTGTTTTAATTGATGGAAGCGAAGGTTGTATATATTTTAGTATGGGTGGATATTGGGGTTCTTGACTTTTGATTAAATATTTAGTAGGTTGATTGATACATAGATTCAAATGTATTAACTGTTTCAGATTTAAGCAAACTCTAGTCAAGGAAAGAAAGTCTCATACTTTTTGATACTTTAACACTATATAGTGAAGGAAATAAGGGAGAGGGAAAGTTAGTTAGTTTCTTTGTTTGGTTGGAGGAGGAAAAAGGAGGTAGATAATTTTTTGTCACCACAAAAAAATACCCCCATTTTGGGGAGAAGTGTGAGAGAAGGGACATGGGGGAGGGATCTGGGAGGGGTCAGTTTTGAATTTTTTATTTTTATTTATGATAGTTTAAAAAAATATTTATATAAAAATAATAAAATTTTGAAAATAATTTTTTATTAAGAAAATATATGATAATAAAAAATAATAAAATTTGTGTTGCTTATAATTTTTCATGATTATTTTTAATATAATTATTTCTTTTTTACTGATCCAAACAAGTGGAGACAATTCTTTTTTTGGTTTCTTTCCATCCAATTTCAGTCCATCCAAACAGTACATTTTTTCACTCTATTTCTCACCCTTCTATTTCTTTCTTCTCTATTTCACTCTACAGCCAAACAGAGTATAAATCTACCTTATATGTTCGAAGAAGGTAAGTGGAAGCTCAAACCTTAGTTCCATAATGCAAGACTTAAATAAAATGAATATATGTTAGAGACTAAGAATCAATGGAAGCACTATATTTGTATCGTTGACTAAAATGAATCTCTTACAAGGAAGGGAGAATCCTTGTAATTTCAGAGCCATGCTCCTTCAGAGAATGCTAAAACCACTCACTACTGAGCTTCAGCTGAAAAGAAACTAACAGAATGTAAAATCCCCTTTCCCACCAGCCTCTACACCCTTGTATATGGAAAATGTGATAGATCCCATCCCATGCTAACTAACTGCAATAGCTCACTCTCATCATCCTTGGGCCTTTCCCTTCTTACCACTCTTGAAGTGAACTTTCCATTTCTTGGGCACTTGATTAAGTTGTGCTGTTGGGACCTTAGACTCATTGATCCTAACAATATGTAATCCATTAATTATTTATCTAAGCAAACTCCAGTTGAAAAAAAAAAAAGAAAATGTCATTCTTTTTCAGAAACAGAAAGTGTACCTTTTATCTAGGAAGAAGGTAAATCCATTGTTCCATAATGCAAGACTTCAATGGAATGAATGTATAATCCCATAATTAATTGTGCCTCTCTTATTTTCACAAATTTTATTGCTTTTCCATTCATTTCTTTCTTTAAATGGTGTGTTTGTATCTCTATTGTAAGCATGTACAAACTCTTTCAAGCTAGTTCTAAATAGTTTATGTTTTAATTTCTTTTGGTGTGACTTATCCACCTCAACATCTTCATATTTGTGTAAATAAACTGTACTGCCAATTTAGCATGTTAACGCCTCTCTCCTATAACTAATATATATATATATATATATATATATCGTATGTGTGTGTATGCGTGTATGGATGCAAATATGTGCATGTAATAACAATACGTGTCAAACTTAGTAAAATGACACTTCCATTCAAGGTTGTCAAAATTCCAATGCCAATTTTTTTTTATCCCTAACCTTCTCTGCATACTTCTGTTCCACCTCCAAAATTCCTTATTTCTTGGCTTAACCTCTAGATTCACCAAAAATTGCCTTAGCAATTATGCTAACCTTGTTATGCATCTCTTCCCAAATGATTCTTGGGACTATAACATGTTGAGTTTAAGACCCTATGCTGTGTAGTAAGACTCTCTCCGAGAATAACTTTTCAATCCTTACAAATTCTTTTATCTAGACTTCTTACCAAAAAAAAAAAAAAAAAAAAAAAAGATTTGTGACCTTGAGACTCCACTCTTATAACAAGTGTTTATAAATTATAATCATGAAGTCATATACCATTGTGAAATCAAGAATAGATTGTCCTTCATTTAACTCTAAAACTAAAACCATCATGAGCCCTTGTAAATTATCTTGTCTCACTGCCAACATGACCATTTAAGTCTTTGTCTATGAAAATCTCTTCGACTTGTGGAATGCCTTGAATCAGTCAAACCTTTGAAATCCTCCCAACTTTTTTCTTTCAAAGATATAATCTTGCGCCAATCATTTCAATCTTCACTTGAATTCTTTTTTTAAGTGTTATTCACAATGATGCCTACTTCTTTCTTTGTTCTAACTTACCCTGTATACTAAAGTTTGAAACACGTAGTATTAAACTCTTGAGCTTTTTCTCCATCCTGTTTTGTTCTTTTGAAGCTAGATGATGTTAATCTTTCTATGAATCATGGTGTCTACCATTTGCAAAGACTTTTCTGTCAAAGTACTAATATTTTGTGAACGAAGCTTAGTCCAATGTTTATCAATGGCGAAAAGCAAAATAACTGCCAACAAAATTATGGGGGAAGCCATGGTGGGTTATGGTGGAAGCATTGTGGTCTTAATAAAATTATATATATATATATCTATTGCAAAATGTGATATAAAACTAGAAACTAACTACATATAAAGAAAGAAGGTTTTGAGAAAAAAAAGAATAAATGATTGTAAAATAGAGAAAAAAAGCTGAAGTTATAACAAGAAAACAGAGAATTAAAAATAAAAATGGAGAAGGAAACTTGGAAGTGAAAACAGAAAAATAGAATCAAGAAAACAGAATAATAAGGGGAAAAAAAAGGGAGAGTAAAACAGAATAGGAGAGGGAAAACAGAATTGAAAAAAATGGAATAGGAGAGGGAAAAACTACAAAACAGGGAAACTGAAGATGCTGACTGAGTGAGAAACAGAAAACTGTTTGAAGAACATAGCACCTGAAGAAGCAAAATAGATGCAAAGAGAGTGACAAATAGAGCACTGTATGAAGCATAAAAACAGAGCCTAGAGAAGCAAAATGGAAAATATATGCCGAAAAACAGGGCCCTCCACTCACATTAGCTGGAAAACAGCCAGAAAGGTTGTCTTCTCTGGCTAAAATGGTGAAGTAGGAGATGAAGAAGTTGGCTATAGAGAAGAAGGAAGAAAAAACAGAGCAAGAGAGAGAACATGTGCAAGAACTGTTGCTCGAAAGAGAAGGGAAAAATTTTAAGTGGGAAAAAGTCCATTTTGCCCTTAAAAAAAGCCCTAAATGACACTGTAGCAAAGTCAAGATAGGACTTTTGCACCCTCTATCCATTATGATTTAAAAATGCACACCCACTGTTTGTGATTAGGGCTAAACTTTGTGACAGAAGAAATGCTTCATGACTACAAGTATCATGCGGCTGATTGTCGCTCCGGGACAGTGCAATAGTGATGAAGAAGAAGGAGGAAGAAGAGATGTGATTACATGATTTAGGGTTTGGGCTCGTGGGTTTTCTCTTTGGACTGGGTTGGGTCTGCGGCCCAACCCAAATTTTCCTGTAAAAAATGCCATTTCTGTCATGGCCGCTCTTATTGCCTGGCGCCACCATTGAAAACTGCCATTTTTTGCCATGGTCGCAGCGGTTTGGTTGAAAAATGCCACCGTTACTTGCCATGGCGCCACCATGATCGTTTTTTAACAACACTGACCTAGTTAAATGCTCCCGGACTAGCTTCTTTACTTACATATGTCCTGCCAAATGTGAGCACTCTTGCTCATTAACACTACATTTGGGCGCCAATGAAGGGGCTCTAGCTCATTTGACATTGTATTCCAGCCATAGAACGTGTTACTTTCCGGTTTGGACCAAGCCCTAGCACAATGTTGTTGTGAGTGAACCATGTATGTTTTGACAAGTTTTACATTGACTTTTGAAGGCCTAACACAACCCTCTTTCTTTACTTGGACTTGGGACTGACTATGGGACTGTAGGCAGAGTTAATTGTCTAGAAGACGATAAATTATATTAAATGAGGGACTTGTGTAAATAGAAAGGAGGGAAAGTAGTGAGGTACATTAGATTTGAAATTGGAAAATTACAGTAGTGGGAGAGTCCAAGTCTCTTGTATACTTTCTATTTTCTTGTATTCATCGTCTCTATCTTTGTCATATATCAATCTGATGTTGAGCTAGAGTCTGAGGTTTGTCTTGGATATATTTTCAAAATTTTCCTATTATTTTGAACCAGTTCTATCAATTGGAATCATACCTTCTACACTTCAGGGAGTCTTGGTTCATGGTGTGCACAAGAATGGAGGGGCAACTAGTAGAACAAGGTGTCAAGGTCCCATATGGTACATCTATTCTAAGCTTGGAGCATTTGACTTATATGCTAAAGCTTGAGGCAGAAGTTTTGGACATGGGAACAATTATTTATGACTCATTGATCTTAGGAAATTGTAGAGTCTTGTACATATTGTAGCCATCGCATAGCTAGGAAATTGAATTACTTTTTGTGCCCTTGTAAACATAAATGGTATTTATTTCTCTATGTATATAAATATGAAAACTTGTTGAGTGAATATTTCTCTCAAATTTCCTTTACTGTCAACACTTAACTGTTGGCTATTCAGTGATTAGATTTTATTTGTTATATGATCATGATACTTTTATTGTGATTTTTAGCTGTGGATGGTGATGTCCTAAGTGATATGTCACTACGTTACTTGTTAGGTCCCATAAACCTTAGTGGACAAGTCCAGTCCAACTCAGTAGGAGAAATAAGAAAGGGAAGAATGGGAATTTACAGAATTTAGTTATGTTGAGCAGATTGACGTGTAATGTTTCATATAGTGGGGGGAAGAGAAAGAATGGGTCAGTACAGTTCTGTTTTTTTTTTTTCTTCCTATTGGTGGGTAAGGGTGTGATCCTTTGTAGGAGCTTTGCTCTGGGCATTGCAGAATTGATTCTGCAGTATTTTCTTCTTTGTTAATAATACAATTCATATCCTTTTGATTTGGTCTTTGACATTGCTATCCTTTCCTACCATTGTATTATTTTTGTGAACTCATGAACATGTCTGTGGCAAACATCTCGTCATTTGTTGTGAAGGTATGACTTAAATTATAATTTATCTTGCTGTATCAGGAGACAAAAAGAGGAGAAGGGTGCATTAGATGCAAAATGTAAAAAGCTAAGCAACCGTGTAAATGAGAATGCCAAGAAGAGAATGGAACTTATGGAGAAGGAGAACCAATTGGTGAGTTTTCTGTTCCATTCATTTAGTTGTTTCACGCCCTCCCCTTTTTTAAATTTAACAGGATCCAAAACTTATGTCTTCCTTTTATTTATCAATGCATTCTCTTGATCCAAGTTGTTATTTGGCAATATAAGCATTAATAACCTGATAATTTTCTGTGCTATTGTGCTTGTGAGTTTATCTTTGTACCCTGTTGGATGAAGTTAGAGGTGTTTGTGATTTTAATTCAATTATCATCACTTTGTAGGATGTGGAATTGCGAGGGAAGTACAAAGATATGGAAGAGTTGAGGAGGCAGGAAGAAACTCGACAGCAAAGACTTATAAAAGCTAGGGAGGAACTTGCTGCTGCTGAACTTGACCTTCAAAACTTACCCCCTTATGTACATCCTAGGGATGAGCTTGTAAGATTTCTTTTAGTCACTATGTATGTATATATGTCTTTGATTATTTCATTCATATTTTAGGTAAAATATCTTAAAATTTAATACACTGTTACCACATATACTTTGCTATAAGCCAATGCCTTTATGAACTTCTTCTTGTCTGATAGTTTCAATACCTAAAGGTCTAAGTGACTAAAATTTAATATTTTGTTTTTGTAATCTCAAGAATGCCAACGTCCACCTTGGCCAGTTGATGCTGTGGTAGTGCACTGCTAGCTATTGCTGCTGTGGTATAGAATAACAAATCATTTATTGCTGTGATGACAATAGTTCACTGCTGGCATGTGTTGGTGGTGATACTTGGTAGCATTTATTTGATTGACATTGACAAATGGCAAAAGCAGTGGCACGTAAACGAAGGTTAGGATGAAAATGGTAATAGTGAAAGTGATGTTGGGTGTAAAGAGATCTGGAAAATACAAGTTCATTTCTCTCAATTGATACAAGATAGAATGAAGACTCTTTCCCTACATTGTTTGGACTGCGGTTGAGAATATGGGCTCAAATATCAATTGGCCAAGAACCCAAGCCCACACTATGGAGAGTTTACACCAGAAATAAGAAATGTATAGGTAAGGAAATTGACGTGGTAGAGAGAAGACAATTTGCTAGCTGAGTAAGGAGGAGTCCATTACAGTGGGATTGGTGTGTGAGAGAGGGGTATCTTTTTAGAATCAAGAAGTTGGTTATATAGAGCATTAGCTCTCTAATGGAGCCTAGCTCTGTGACAGCAGTACTCATTCTATTGATTTTCCTTTTCATATCAAATAATACTGTAGAAAAAGTATCTTATTTCCTTAAATATATGCTTCATTGTTGTGTAGTTAAGACACAATTCATTTTATGCTTCTTGTATTTATCTCTCTTCTCAATATATCTAATATTCTAATTGTCCTAATTAACTTCCCCTTCTTCGTATTCCTAACAATATCACCTTTCGTGAAATTCAACTGTGTCTAAAAGACTGAAATCATTTGCCCATAGACTTGGGCTTGGTCTATTAGCTCAAGATAATGTTAGCTGGCAAATTTGCAATATCCTATTTCCTTCTTTATGAAATCAAATTGAGACAAGGTTGGGCCTGGTGTAGCAAAATTGACCTATGTTCTGCAGCTCCACTATTACACCCTATGTCATGATTCTCATGATTGGTACTCTTTTCATGGTTTGTGTCATGTTCCAAAGCACATATGGATAAGCATTCTCCACCGCAATGCGGTCTTGCAGTGCGCCCACTGTCTTGAATAAAATTCTGGCAGTTTATATCCAAACTCTCACAGTATCCCTACTGCCAAAATTGACTTTTTTTTATAAAAAAAATCTATTCTATTTAACTTATAACTACATTTATATCTCCAAGATCAAATGCAATTAGATTGCATTAATCAGTTTTATGGGCATTGTTCTCATTTAACACTGTATATTCATTACTAACTTTAGCCGATGTTGTACTGCACAAAAAATATTGTGTTTTTGTTTTGTACTTGAGTTAATGTGATTTTTTTCCCCAACAGCAAAGACTAAAAGCTGAAATTGTGGAATTGGATTCTTCTGCTAATCAATTGAGGCAGAGTAAGTCACAAGCAGAAAATGAAATAAAGCGTAAGAAGTCATCCATGATGCAGTGTAAAGAGAGGTAGAAGTTAGATTAAAGATGAAATGATCTCCACATTGCTTACTGATGCAAATTCATATATTTGACATCTCTATTGTATGTGTTGCAGGTTAATGGAAATGAATAATAAAAGTACAAAGTGTTTGCACGTTTTGCAAAGATCAGGAGTTGAAAAAATTTTTGAAGCTTATAAATGGGTCCAAGAACATCGTCATGAATTCAATAAGGAAGTTTATGGTCCAGTTTTAGTTGAGGTACATTTGTCCAAAATTCATGCTATTATAGTTTTTTGTGCTGGTTACATAGTTAATTTGTTGAGTGAAATTTCAGGTGAATGTCTCAAATAGGGTTCATGCTGCATATCTAGAGGGTCAAGTTGCTCATTATGCTTGGAAGGTGATTCCTTATATCTTATTAAAATTGTGTCTAATTTCTTGCTGCAGAAGGAAAAAATTCCTTCTACTGCATTTTGCTCAACTCAAATGTCAATGAAAATTCTGGCTGTTATATGTGTAGAATCTTTGTTTAAATATTTTGTGGAGTATGTGTTTAGCTCCACAGTCTGTTGTTTAACTGGTTTCTCTGATGTTGATTGTGCAAACAACTTTCTTTAATGATTTTTTTCCTGTTTTTGGTATCCTTTTTTTTTTCTATGCAAAAATACTTTTTCTCCAGTAAAGTTGATAATTTTGGTTGGTGGTGCTGTTTTAATCTGATAGTCATAAGCCCATAAGAAAAGGATTACATTCTAGGAAAGGAAGAGTGGGGCAGTGAATTTTGACACTCAAGCTCTCAATCAATTAGCACATAATTAGGAGGCAGTTACAAGGGATAGTTATTGTAAGGGTCAGAGTTAGGAGATTTGAGTGGTCTTTTGTGAGTGGAAAAGGTTGTGTAGGAGAGTAGCCAGGACAGGATCTCTTGATTATTTCCTGCATTGTATGATAACAGTCTGCAGGGTACAGCAATGTGTTCTTGTTCATTCTTAGTAATACAATTCAATCTTTTCCTTTTCTTGGTGCACCGGTTCTATCATAATTCTACTTTCTTTTGGTGGGATAGCTATTCAATTTTTGATTATCTCTGTTGTTGATTGCTTTTATGTTCAAATCCAGTCCTTCATAACACAAGATTCTGGGGATCGGGACCTTTTGGTTAAACAACTGCGGTTCTTTGATGTGCCAGTTTTAAATTATACAGGCAAAGATGGTCATCAAAGAGAGCCTTTTGAAATTTCTGAAGATGTAAGTGTGTTGTGGCATTTTTTTTTTTTTCAATTTGCATTTAATCAACCTAAATATCTCATTATTGTTATTTTTTAATTTTAACCAGATGCATGCTCTTGGTATCTACTCCCGGCTGGATCAAATTTTTGATGCTCCTTTTGCTGTCAAGGAGGTTTTGATCAGCCAGTTTAATCTAGACCATTCAGTATGCCTCTATTGCTTTTCTTTTTCTTTTTGTAGATTTGTAATTTATATTTATAGGTTGTTTGAAAGATACTTCCAGCTAAAATGTTTATGGATTGTTGTTTATGTAATTAGGCTATACAATTTATACAATTTTTGCTAAATGCTTTCATTTCAGTATATTGGATCGAAAGAAACTGATCAGAATGCTGATAAGGTCCCAAAATTGGGAATTATAGATTTATGGACACCAGAAAATCATTACCACTGGTCCAAGTCTAGATATGGGAATCATGTCTCAGCAGTTGTTCAACAAGTGGAACGTCCACAACTTTTATTGAATAGTATACCACTCTAAACCTTGCTGCATGTTGATGGTGCAGTCTAATTTTAACTGCTGGTTCCTGATTATCACCCCTTTTCCTTTCTGTTGTACTCTAGATTTGAATGTTGGTGAAATTGAGAAGCTGAGTTCACAGCAAAGGGAGCTTGAACAAGTCATTGCTAACTTGGAGCAAAGTGTTCAAAGGTTTCAAGATGAGGAAAGAAACTTGGTGAATCAAGCTGCTAATCTTCGTAAACAGTGGGTAGGCTACTGCAAATTTACATCAATATACTAGTTTCTTGGTTCTAGAGTTTTCTTGTAGGGGCTTGTGTGGTTGATTTAAGGCTTTGAATTTAACCTAATTTAGGTTAAATTTCTTTTTAAGTGTAGTTGAAATATGTTATTTTTTCTTAATTTTTTAGGAGGCAATTAGTATTACAGCACAGAATGAGCATAAAAAACGTCAAGCAATCATTAGCCGCATTGGTGAGTAGAATATGCTGTGTAATTTTTGTTTTAAAACTTGAGATATATATCTTGCTTTGATATTGTAAAATGAATATTTGTTTTGACCCCTTAGATCAAAGGAAAGGTATATTAAAATCAATGGAGGAACGGGATGATATAGATACTGAGATAGCAAAGCTTGTTGATCAGGCTACAAAATCTAATATTCAGCGATTTCATAATGCAATGAAAATTAAGGTGATTTATCTCTGTTCATTCTCTGCATCTTTATATCTTGTTATTTTCTGGCTTAGATATTGAGGTTGGAATCATTATGTATCAAATGCATTTAGATTTTAATGTTGAATTTATTTTCGCAATGTTTTTATTTTATACCCCCCTATCCCCAAAGAATATGGTTTTGTGCTGTTTATCTTCATCCTATTTTTGACAGGATCTTCTTGTCGAAGCTGTGAGTTATAGACAGAGTTTTGTTGAACAACGTATGGCTTTCATTGAATTCGAGGCCAAGGTAATCAAATAATAGTTATGACACAGGATACATGTAACTCAGTTCATTAATAATTATGTATGCAGAAGAAGCTTTTATCAATTATTTTCAGTTCTAATTCTTATGCTACATATTACCTCTAACTAGCTCAACCAATGAATTGTCATCCTGTGTTAAAGCGTGTTGATCACTATTTGTTTGTTTTAAAGATTTAATAGCCTAAATTTTTTTCTTTACCGTTTATTTTTTATAAACGAAAAAATAAAATGAAATTTAGAAACAAAGGAGAGATACAAATGCAAAAGGGTAAGAATTCCTCCAAAACAAAACAGAGAAAAACCAAAAGAATCATGAGTGTTACATGCAACAAAACACACTAATTGCTTTGTAAATCTGTTAGAACTGGTTCAATACAGATGGAAAAACAAAACCACATTGTATTTATTCACAAGAATGCCCCCTGATCAAGGTGACCAAGAAACAGACAAAGATGTTACACTGTTTACAAGGTATTTGAGAGTCCCTGGACTCTCCCAAACTTACAATGACCATCCTCCCTGTCCCTTCTATCCTGTCATATTTCCTTTTATATACAATCTCTTACTAACCATCTCCAACTAATTTAGTTAGTTGGGTTCTGACCTCCTACCCCTCTTTTAATTCTTTTAACATATACTTGCCTTGCTTTATTAATGGTTTGCTATCAATCTACCAAAGACAAAAAACCATTTGGAGAAGATAACAAAGAAGCTAACTACTTAATCACAATGAACTTAAAGAGGCCGCACCCGACCAATAAAAAAATTAGCATTTCTTTTCAACCATTTCCCCTGAACAACTGCAAATTGAGAATGGCCCCAAAGCCTTTAAGAATCTATAATGGTGCCCGGAAACCTCTCAAATTAATACAGTATCCTTTGGGAATCCTTGGGGAAAACCCAATCTTTACATAAAACACAATATGGATTATTCTAGAGAAGGGAAGCTCCTAGCAATGCACAGGCAAATGACAAACATTTGAGGGAGGAACTGATTTTCAAACAGGCTTATCTAGATGGAAAATTGGAAACAACAGTCATTTCTAGGAAATGAAATGAGGAACTGGAAGTAAGTTTATACTCTTACAAAAAAATAAACTTGACATGTAAATAATCCTGAGTTTGCTGGAGAGTTCCCACTCAAGTGTCCTCCTAAAATTTAATTTGAGAACTCAACTGTCATCTAAACCAAAGGAATGAGAGGTCTAAAAGAAGTTCAACTGTGAGATATGGATTTCCAAGTGCTGGCATGCATAATGGATTCCAACTGTGGATGCTATTTTGTAGACTCTTGTGTCCCATGCTTATGTTTTCTACACGTACTTTCTTTCTCTCTGCCTCTATCTTTCTCATATGTTTGTGTTTTAAATTTTCTTAGATTGGAGAAATGCAGGCCAATCTGAAGCAACATGAGAATTTTGCTCTGCAAGCATCATTGCACTTTGATAACTGTGAGAAACTATATAGTTTTTAATTTCTATATTTTGCGAGCTTGAATAAGTTGCTAATTTGTAGATTTTATTTATGCAGGTAAGAAAGAGTCTGAGAATTGTAGACACAAGCTTACAGATTCCTTGAAGTTTGCAAAATCAATTGTTCGGTTGACACCTGAGCTAGAGAAGGAATTTCTTGAGGTTTGTTTAGACACTCAAATTATAGTATGCATTTCACTTTTCATTTTTATTATTTACATAATTGGAATCACTGACCACATCTTGAAGGTGATGCTTTCTGGACATGACAACATAGTAAGTTGTTTTCATCTGTTTGAAGAACTTGATGTTAAAAGGCTATATGGATGCAAAAACATCATTTTCCCTGTTAGAGTGTAGAACTGTAGTCTGTCTTGTATAACTGTATTAGTGCAGTTCAAGCTGTATTCAGACAGCTGTAACATTTTTGTTTTCTGTCATGCTGTGACTGTGACAGTTATTACTGAATTCATGCTAGCTTTCTAGGTGATGATCTAGAGCTTTCCGAGTCTGAGTTTGTTAGGACCCTGGGAGACAGTAAGGCAGTTAAGGTCGTTGCCCCTAGCAGTGGAATATTACCTTATGACAAGGTATATGTGAGAAGGAATGGAAAGATGAAAAATGACAGGGGTGGGACATGTGAATTGAGTGATAGCAATGGGTTTTGTAACTAACTGGCCTGCTGGCACAATTAGAGTAGGAGAGAAGGAGAAATACTGATTCGTTTATGGGTTAGTGGGTTGAATATATGGGTTGGGAGCACTGTTGTTAAATGACGGCCATGGCAGCATCATGGTGGAATTTGGTGGTGAAAATTAACCCCGCCATTACAGCGTTAGCGTTTTATGGCGTTTTTCCACGGCAGCCATGGTGGAAATTGTTGAAAAATGGCGTTTTTGCAGGGTTAGGCTGCGAATCTGACCCGGTCTAGAGGTTGACCCGTGCAAGAAAACCCTAAGGTGACTTGTTAATAGCTGTGCTATTGCGCCGGTGTGGTGCAGAGCAGCCATTGGCCGCCACGTCGCGGGGCGTTTGTCTCATCGCGGTGGTTGCGGGTTTAGGACGGCTAGAACAGGAGAAGTTGCAGGTGCTACTGCACGATTTTAGGGAAAGGAAGAAACCCTTCTGTTTTTCTTAAAATGCATCGTTTTGATTATTTGTAAGGGTAGAAAGGTCATTTACCCTTGATAAAACATATTTCATCTTCTTCCACACTCTTTCTCTCTGCATGAAAAGCCAAAGCCTCATCGTAACAATTTCTCCCATCCTGACTGACTCACCCACTCCATTTCACGGGAAAAATCAGCTAGTCCGAAGGGTCACCCACTCCATTTCGTCAGAAAAATAAGTTTTTCCGACGTCTCCTCTGCTTTTCTGTTCACTGGAGAAATCAGCTTTTCCGGCATCTATTCTGCTTTTCTGTTTGAGCTCTATTTTACTATTCACTGATCATTTTTGTTTTTCTGTTCAAGATCTATTTTGCTATTCATCCTCTGTTTTGTTGTTCAAACTCTGTTTAGCATTTTTTGTTTAATATAACATCCATGTTGCAATGTTTTTCTCTTTTACACTGTTACTTTTACTTGGAATGATGATGTAATCTTGATAATTTCTTGAGCATTTATATTAAATTTCTGTGTACATAAATATTATATATGCATATTATAATATTTTTTATATATTTTATTATATCCGCCATGGTGGTTACCATAACTTTATGGCAGATTTTTTTGGTTTCTGCCATGAGCTGCCATCCACCATTGATAACATTGGTTGGAAGAGGTGCCAAGGGGGGCATCTTAGGAGAGAATAGACTCTGCATTTGGGGAAGAACTAGGTCTCTCGAACATCTAGTGATTTCTGTAATTTTCTTTCTCTAAGAAATATATGCAAAAAGGGTAGGAGCTGAATTTCATTCTGTTCTTTTCTGTTATTCCAATACTGATACCAGTTCCTTACAGAGTTATATATAGTTAGTTATCATGTGTTGTGTGTATCTCTTTTTCACAATACTGAATACAGTTTACACTCAATAATTCTCTCACTTCTATCTCTCTACTCTCTCCGAATTCTCAATATGGTATCAAGAGTTTACTGATTCTTATCAATGGAGAATCCACATCCTATTTTGTCTTATGCTCCAACAACATTCTCACATAACTTACCATCAAATTGGACGAGAACAATTCTCTGCCATGGAAGCAGCAAGTGGAAGGTGTAATTCACGGATACAAGTTATGGAACTTTGTTGTTCATCGGCAAATACCATTGAGATTTTTTCCTGATGAATATTGTGACCCTGTAATGTGAATTCTGCTTACACAGAATGGAGCAACAAGATTTGTTGCTCTTCACCTGGTTGTTATCTACTTTCTCAATCAGTTCACCCTGGGGTGATTGTTTCCTGCATCCATTCATGTCAGGTTTGGAAAGAAATTCACAATTTCTTTCATGCACAAACGAAAGCAAAGTCTAGTTAACTTCAATCTAAGCTTAAGAGTATCACCAAAGGAAATCACATAATCTCAGACTATCTGCATTGGATTAAGGCTATTGTCAATACTCTACTCTTAATTGGAGACCCTATCTCATTCAGAAATCAGTTGGAAACCATTCTTGATGGTCTTCTGGAAGAGTTTGATACTCTAGTCATTTTCATTCAGAATCAATCTGAACTAACTCAGGTTGAAACGATTAGAGAAGAACAAAAAGAAATTCTCAGTGAATCCAACTCTTTCTCTGTGAATGTTGCACAGGTGACAATCTACTGCTCCAAATGCTTTGCCAAATTTTGGAAATCTAGAATGAAAGCTTCCAAGACTTTGAAAACCAGAATAAATGGCTATGGACATTGAGGATCTTTTTGAGGTCGCGGAGGTCATTATGGAAGTCAGGCATTGGTGCAATTCCAGATATGTGATAAGTTTGTATATAGTCATTGTTGAAAAGTCAAGCTTGTACACTACACAGTAGTCCCAAACCACCAATGCCATTTTTGGCTGCACCTGGAAATTCATCCATAGTACTATCCCTTGCACTTTCGCATGATCTGATATGCATTCCATGCAAGCTCAGTATCCAACCTCTACAGCTATGCATCATGTGACATCTAATCTGCAGAATCTTGTGCCCAACACTATTGTTAATGGTGAAAATCAAATTCTTGGGTAATGGACAAGGTTTGTCCATTTCTTTAATTGGCTTAGCTTCTTTTAAGACACCTATACATGCTAATACCTACCTCACTCATTTATTATCCTTGACATTACAATCTTGTACGTGTTAGCAAGTTTGCATGTGATGACTCTGTTTGTTGAGTTCTACCCCACTCATTGTCTTGTTAAAATTACATGGCACCTGTGAGTTTCTTCTACGATGTACACTTGGTACCATGAATTCTACACATTGTCAGATGTTATTGAGTTGTCAATTTTACCACACCTAATACATGTACTGTGTTTTTTGAAAATCCTGTTGTTTCTAGCATTCTCATAATGAGGAGATGCATAAAATTTTTGAGCTGTGTAAAATTCCATTCCTAATACAGTTGGGAGTTATTTTTGTTCATCATGTTTCTTAGGCAAGGCACATTCTCTTTCATCCTCAACTATCTACTCTACTGCTCCTGAACTTGTAAGCAGTGATATTTGGGAACCTAGCCCAGTGGATTCTACTTGCAGTTAATGCTATCTTTTAACTATTGTTGATGCATGCACACATTTTTAAAGAAGAAATCTGACACACTCGCTATGTTCATGGAGTTTATAACAATGGTTGAGTTGCAGTTTGGCTCTCCTCTCAAATCAGTGCAAATTAATTGGGGAGGTGAATTTTGACTCTTCACCTCTTGGCTCATGCAGTCAGGAATCACTCAACTGTTTTGCCCACTTACACGCCATCAAAATGGAATTGAACGAAAGCATTGCCACATTGTTGAGGCACTTAAGTTATTAGCTCATGCACAACTCTCAATTATATCTTGGGCCATGCTGCACAAGATGCTGTCTACCTGATAAACATACTTCCCTTCTTCGGCATTAAGTGTACATATAAGAAAACTAGGCCCAACTCCTAATACATTGCTTCTTAATTATCTGTTCTGTAGATATAAACAACTATGACAAGTGCATCAATTATTTAAATAAGTATAAATAGTTATCGTTTCCATGAGGATTGGGCCAATTAATTAATAATATCCTATGAAGCACAAACATCTCTCTTGTTCAAAGTGTTGCAATGTCGAACAAGTTTCAACATCAACACTTTTTAGACACTTACTCTTGCTAGACATTCCTTATTAGGTGTCCAATTAAAAAATTATTTTTTTCAACTCAGACACATGAGCTAGCACTTCTATACAACTTGGACACTTAAGTTGACACTTGAATGTAGGACACACATATTATTAAAAAATAATGTTTAGTCTCTTTATAAAAAGATCTCAAAACAATAAAGTTATATCATATTCACCATCTTAAATAAATATACTGTTATATATATATATATATATATATTCTATGATAATGAGTTTAAAAAACATCTTTTTTAAAAATTTTACATTAAAATTTAAGGTAAGTTCTATAAAAGTTAAAAAAAATAAGAATTTTTTTAATAATACTTGTGTGTGTTCTATATTTAAGTGTCAACTTAGATGTTTAAACTGTATAGAAGTGTCAGCTCAAATATCTAAGCCAAAGAAAAATAAATTTTAATTAGACACCCAATGAGGAGTATTTAACACATGTTGAATAAGTGTCCGAGAAGTGTTGTTGGAAAAAGTGTCTAACACCACAACACATCAAACAAGAGGTGTTTGAGCTTCATAGGGTGTTGTTAATAGTTGAAAAATTGATACTTGACAGAATATTGAATGAATATTTCTCATTAATTTTATATGGTACAATGGTAACCATTTATATAGCTATGGTAATTAATTCTATGCTAAAATCAGGAGTGTCAATCTTACCCAATTATGTTAATTACATAAATAAGGAAAGAAAAATAGGGAAAGAAATCAAAATATTTTACAACACTTCCCCTCAATGGTGAATGAATATCTATCATTTCCAGCTTGCCAGTAAGATCTTGAAATTGCTTTGTGGGCAATTCCTCAACATAGACCAAAAGTAGTGTCAGTTTACTACCTTGTGAATGTTTTATGA